AACTTTAAGTTAATGTTAAAGAAAATATAATGAAGGCAGATATTATCTTTTAGATTCAAAAACAAGACTTCAGTCATAAAGACATCTTTTTGATACTTTTCTGAAACCAATTACCCTTTCAATAATCACCCAGTTTTTCCCACTGCCTGAAAGGACATTTATTAGAGTTGGTTAAACCCACCGTTGGCCGGAGTGTGTGTGGGCCAAGAGTTAATTACGAGTGCTCTTTAGGTTGTTAAGCACCTAGCTGCCTCAAATGAAATCAAATAAAGTGAATGGTGGCCATAAAAAAAGGAAATACCTGGCCAACAGAATGTGCGGAAGCTAACGGAGATGAGGTTAGAAAAAATCCTCAAGTGGGCGGCGCCACAAAAGAGGTAAAAGGAAGAGGAAGTTGGGTAGCCAAGTAAACAAAAGCAAATATTGCGTGCCAAAATTCCGGAAATTTTTAAGAGTCACAGCATGTGTAAGCTGAATTTTTACAAGTAAACACACACACACACACACCCCCTACTACACTCTCAGCTCTTGAACAACAATCCCTCAGGTCCCCCCACCACCCACCACATCATCCGTCTGGAACCATTCCTTAGTGCCATGTTTCCTGTCTAAGTGCTAAATTGAAATTCCGAAATTAAGTAATTTCTCCCAAGGGCAACTTCTGCTGGAAATCTTTACCAAAAACGGACACACACCCTCAGACTGGGCCACGCCCATCAGTGTTGCAGAAGAACGCCCACATAAGAAGCCGGAACGCAAACAGTAAACTAAACAATAACAGCAACAAGGCTTGCCAATGAGTTGCACTAATAGTTTGTGTGTGTGTGTGTGTGAAGCTGCCTGTAAAATGAGGCACATAAAAGGAAAATGCCAAAACTGTTAGAGTGTAGCAGCAACCGCATCTACATGAAAACAAGCTGTAAAAATTATAGGGAAATGGCAAACCGTACACGACATAAGTATTTTGTTACGGACATTAAAGCCAACGCCAAGATATCCAGTGACTCGCATCGTTTAATCCCAAACTAGAGAGCCGTCATAAAAATGCAGGAATATCTCCATAAGGCTGGTTGAATGGCCCAAACCATAAGAGATGAACCTAGGCAGGGAGTTAGAGTATCTTATAAAGTATCTTAGGCTGCTATTTTATGAGCATCTACAAAGTTTTACACTTTTCTGGTACAGCCTGCCCTGTTAATAGAAGTAATAGGTCTTGCCTTTGGATTATCTTCTCTAAAAAATAAAGAGAAAATCATTTTAATTGTTTTTTTTTGGAAAACTTCTTAACCGCTACTCATCCTTTTAAATTCCCTTTGCTTTTAATTTTTCAAATTCTCAGCCAACAGCCAGCTTCTTTGCAACTGCAACTTCCCTTTTTTTAAGGTTACTTCCGACTTATCCTTAATCAAAACCGAAATGGCTCAACACTTTCCATGGCTGCTGTCTTCCAAAATCGAAAGTTTGCCAATTCATTCAGCCACCACCCTCTCCTTTGCTCCCCTTTTTTTCCACTTGCAACACTGTCGTCCTTTGGTGGCCCTGTTTCAGTTAACTTCAAGGAACTTCCCCACTTCAGCTTCCTCAATATTTTTCAATTTAAATGATGGAGCGGAGAGTAGAAAAAGGAGTGCTAGGATGAGAGAAGGAAATGACGCTTCACACTAGTGAGCACAAGGGGCGGGGGGTTTCGGGTGCTGGCTGCCGAAAAAAAAAAAGAAAATGTGAAGAAAAGCAGGGAAAGGGAAACGAGGCAACTTAAACACTTCTTGCATTTTTCTTATGGAACGACAACTATTTATTGCCTCGCCCAAAAACCCAGACGAAGCTGTCGAGGATTCTCTGTTCTTCTTCTTGTTGTTGTTGTTGCTTCTTGTTGCCATTGTTGTTGGTGTTGTTTACTTTTGTAGTGGCAGCAACAAAGTTCTTAAATATTACCAACGGCAGGAAGAACTTACACCAGAAAAAATGTATATTTTTTGTAGTCTAATGAATTAGCTTAAATTAGCATAAAGTGGCATTTCTTTGTTTTTAAGCTGGAAATATGACAGGAAATTTATTAGTTAAGAGGATAAAGTGGGAAAAATGAGGTTGGAAGTATTATATTTTACTATGTTTGGTACGGAATTATATTAATTTAGTTTATTTCTTCATTTAATTATTATTATTTATTTACAATTCTTCATTTTTTCCCTGGGTAAAAGTTTATACTTAGCTCTTGAATCTTTCTTAATTTTTCCTTAAGTGTATTACAACGCTTTCTGAAGCTGACTACCATGATGATGACGTTGGCTATGAGGGTTGCTGATGGTGTTGGCCATGGTGATGATGAAAAATGCACATGTGTTGCTAACGGCCCGATTATTTTTATTGTTTATTTACTTTGATTTTGGCCCTCTTCTCGTTCGTCTTTTTGTGCTGTTTGGCCATCATGTTCATGTTTTTATTTGCCACGACCGGACCCGTGGCCATGTCCTTATTCGGGTTATTTGGGTTTGGTTTGCCCATTTGTGCGTAACGAATAAATTTAGCAAAATAAATAAGGACAATAATCCCTTTGAATGCATTGCAATTGAGCTTTTTACAGCCATTGACTGTAGCCCAAACGCCCACTAATACATACACACATCTACATACACAAGCACATATACACTCGACACACACGTACGTGTGGCACTTAACTCAACATTGTTGGATGGCTTAGAAAGCTTTTGCCTCTTGGCCAGGATTCCATTCCGTTTTCGGCGTCCGGCTAATACCATTTCGATTCCGGCTTGATTTGCATTTCAATTCCAAATCAAATTTTTCAATTGCCAGCTGGACGCACTCACACATACATACATATACACTCTCTCACTAAACACACATACGAACACAAACATAGGCGCCTATCAATATGTGTGCTAAGTGGCCGCACACACACCAGTTTAATTCAATTTGGCATCGAAGGGCGAACAAATTCATAGCATACTTTGCAGCGCTGCTTGACCGGAGTCGAATCTTCAAACTCCCCATGTAATTGACAAAAGCTGCGCTCCATGGAGCTCCTCGATATTTGAAATCAATTTATTTTATATTGAGTTAGCTGTCCCCCCTCAGAGCACCCAGTTCTCTGGCATACCGGAATAGCATTAACCTTTGGCAGCTACATTGTGTAAAATCGAAATCGATATGGCCCAGAGAGAGAGAGAAGAGAGAGAAAAGATGCTGGTTGCGGGGGAAAAGGGGAAAGCGGGAGTTTGCCCAGCCAATTGCAATGTCAGCTCAAAACTCAGCCACTGAACAACGAACCTCCACACATGCTCTTATTTGTTAAATTAAAAGCTTTTCCAGCGCCTTGCAATTGTTATTGTTGTTGCCCAGACAGCGACGTCATCATCATCATTACAAACATCATCATCATGATGATAATGTTCATCATCATCGTCGTCTTCATTTGCCATTATTGGCTGCGGAGCGCACAAGACTTTCAATTAGTTTTATTAGGGTGTTCCAAACATTCCATTGACTCCAAATCAAGGGGTTTCTGGCGGGGCACCTCTCCCTCCCTCCCTCTCTCTCTATATATATATATCCATTGTTATTTTCGACCCGATGCCAATGCCGCTTCTGTTTGATATTGGCCTTTTGACTTTTATGCTTTTTTTTTTTTTTTGGGTTTTTGGCGCAATTTTCGCTTTTTGCGGTTGCGGCAGCTCCTGCGATTTTCGGTGATGGTTTGCGGGCTTGGGGGAGGCCTTTTCAATGGCCCGATTGTTTTTTGAGTTTTATTGGGGGCTCCTCTTATTGTTGTTTTGGCTGTTAGGCGCATGATTGCGCAATGCCAACGCACCAATAAATAAGTAATATTAGATGTTTAAATATGTGGGAGTGGGTGTGGGAATGTTTAATCAGCAATTTAGACCGCATAATGAGTCAGCAAAATGGGAAAACCTAAAACTGACATGGAAAAGAGAAATACTTTAAAAGGCTTAAAAATGATCTAAAAAATATTTAAAAAAATGATTTAAGAAATATTCTTTAAGGCTATTTGTTGTACTTTGCTTATAAAACATAAAACAGATTCACCATAAAATTAATTATTAAAATGGCTTAAAAGTAACTTAAAAAGGCAGCCAAACCTTAAGTCTTAAATGAACTAACTTATCTCTTTCGGGTCACCCCTCCCCTTGTAAATGCACTTATGAATTATTAAGCAATCCTTTTAATTATTCTTGAGTAATAGTTTCGGAAACTTTTTCGAAAACTTCTGCCCAGGGGCTACCATATTGGTCAACTTTTGGATACTTTTAAAGCTGTTGTTCGCTTTCTTTTTTCTATGTGAAACTTGTTAAAAACTTCTCAAGCTCATTTCATTTCTCTAAAGAGCATTACAGTTTCGTTGTTTCGTTCCCCTTCAGCTTTTGCCCCATCGCTATAATTTCCACTTTATGACTTTTGTATTGCCAAACGCCCTTGCTTCCCCCTCTGGTAATTTTCCCCCCTTTCAACTGGCGGTGGCATGTGGGGGCAGAGTTGAAGGCAACAAATGTTTTTGACACGACAAGTCCATGGGTCAAATGCCTCTCTTCCCGTCTTGTTTGCTCTCCTCCTTAGATGTTGTTTTTTATTTGTTTCTTGTTTTTGGCGCTTTTCTTCTTTTTTAATGCTGATTTTTTTCTGCTTTTTGTTTTTTGTCAGTGGCTGCCACTGCTACTTGAGCTAGAGAAAAAAGTTTTTTGTGCGAAAAAGTTTCGGTTGCCCGATTCTTAGGAGGTGCTCGGAGCCCAGTTGCCTTGGCGGCGGGTTGGACACGCCTGGTTGAACTTCGGAGTCAAGTCAGCGGTGGGGCATCATCCGGCCGCCGAGCCCGGCTGATTATTGAAAATGTGGCGACACCGCCGACGGTCCAGCTTGCACATAATTCATGTGGAAAAAAAGAAATATATATATATAGAAGAGTAGGAAAAGTTTGGGCCAACTTTATTTTTCACTTTTCCCTCTTTCATTCTGTGTCGTTGCAGTTGAAAAGTGAACGCCGAGCTAAATAAGTTGCAATGTGAAGAGCCCTGAAAGGACAAGTGCGAGCCAAGGAACAGGACTTGTCAACGACTACGAGAAGGACCAGCTGCCACAGCAGCGATTGACAGGGCAAAAACAAAGCCCAAACTGGCAGAGAGCGAGAACGACTTTTCCGTTCAAGTGGCACGAGCACCAAAAGTTTAACGTTGTTTTTCCGTTCCATGGCCCCCGGAAAACTGCAGCAACGGGGCGCAGCAATGTGCTGGCCAACTACCGCAGTCGAAGAATAGAAAATCACTCGAAAGACCTTGCCCAAAAACAAAAAAGTAGAGACACCAAAAATAAAAAAACAAATAAAAAAGAGAAGAGGACGAGCAACCACTGCGGTGCAGCATATGTGCTTTTGCTGTGCTTTTTCTGTGATGCCACAAGGACACAAGGACACTTCAAGTGACAGCAACATACGCGAGTTTTTCGTTCGTGGAGAGCCTTCCATCTAAGACGCAGCAGCAGTATGCGCAAGCACAAAGCGCCGCCCAGCGGCAGTCCAAGGACAATGCCCCAGGACATTTCACAATCGGAGCCATCGGGGGCAGATGGGGAATCCCCCGCAACAGCAGCAGCAACAACAACAGCAGTAGAAACCCCGCAGCAAAGCCTGCTGCTGGGCCACAATCCAGAGGATGCCTCTGCAGCAGCAGTAGCTAGTCGCCTGGCCCCGCCCCTCTGTCAGCCTCCCATCATCAACAGCAACAGCAGCAGCAGCAAGGAGCGACCTCGCCCCACAGTCCGGTTCATATCCCTGCTGCACGTGGCCAGCTACGTGCTCTGCCTGTGCGCCTTCAGCTTCGCTCTGTACGGCAATGTGCGGCAGACGCGACTAGAGCAGCGGATGCAGCGTCTCCAGCAACTGGACGCCCGAATCGTAGAGCTGGAACTGCGACTAGAGCAGCAGCAGTTGCTCCATTGGCCTGCTGACCAGACGCAGATCTTGGCCAGTAATCCCAGCGACAGCGGCAACAATAGCAACAACAACAACAACAACGGCAGCCAGCACCTGGCGTTGCACGTGCGACGGGAGTTGCATCGCCTGCGTCGCGATGTCTCACATCTTCAGCTTACGAGACGACAGCAACGACGCCAGGCGGCCGAGGCGGCGGCAGCAGCAGCGGCCAGCGGAGAGGGTGGATCTGGAGTGGGTCAGTGCCAGTGTCAAGCAGGTGAGTTAAGGAGAGATTTTATATTTAAGTTTTTATTGTTTTTTTAAATTTTTTGAGTTAAGAATCTCTTAAAAACGAAAGTCTTAAGTCAAGGATCTTTTCTTTTCATTTTTGAAATCCATTTTGTTATACAAATTAAGCTCAACATGATAAAGAACTTATAAGGTACTAATATGGTATTGAAGTTTTAACTTTTTAACCTTTTTTCAAGTGTAAAAAAATGTATTTTTTATTTAAAAAATAGTTGAGATTCACATTTGTTATGCTTTCTGTTCAACAGTCTAAGAACAAACTTTAGGTTGATCCATTGACCAATTTCCATAAACTGCTAATCACTTCGGTAACATTCTAATTAGAATGTCAATCTTAATTGAAAGTGTCAACTTTCCCTTTATAAATTATATATTTGGTTAACCAACTAGTAATACCTTTAAGCCGGAAAATGTTTTTCGTCTTTAATAAAGGAGAGCCTTCCCTTTATGTTGCGATCTCCTGTCAATTTGATAGCCACAGTGTTGGCCATGAACATGGACCGCTTACATTTGCGGTCAGCGCGCAATTGGTCAGAAATGTCAGACGCAGGCAAACACACACTTACGCATACTTACACACAGCTGGACACCCATACATAGCCATAAGTCAACAAGTCGTTGTGGCCGTCTGTCTGTGTTGGGCCTATTGTGTGTGTTGGTGTTGGTGAGTCTTGCGTGTGGGCCACGAAATTTAATTATTTGGGTCCTGGGCAAATTTATGGCAGTTTAGAGATTTCATTAATTGGAAAAGTGTTTTCCCAGCGCACAAAGAAGAGCGGGGATAGGAAGTCTCCCTGTCTTCCTTGAGTTTTTCTCGATTTTCCTGTGCTGCTTTTTTCATGCCAGCCATTTTCCTTTGGCTGGCACTCAGTCTCTGGTGACATTACCGAAACTTTGATTACTCGGGGATTAGCAAAGCACTCCCGGCTAACACACACACACACACACACTCTCTCACATACACACTCACACTTGCATAAATAAGCACTTGGAGAGTGCCAGTTTGCCTTGTGGTTTGCATAAATTTCGCTTAAAATACTTTTTGAAAACTTTTCCGACACTCATGCGGCTGCACAAGCTTCCTTGTGCTCCTTCTAACGCCCCCTAACCCCTCTGGCTCCTTGTAGTTGCTACATGTTGCCCATAGAACGAAGAACTCTTAGCTAGTCTGGTCGTATTAACGCAATTTGTCTTGACATTCGCACAATTAACTCACCCGCTAAGCTGCCGGACAAACTTTGTGGCTAATCCCGCTGATTCCTTGGATTCAGATTTCAGATTTCAGATACTGTGCCTGTGTGCCATGCATTGAGCATATGACGCATACGGAACGTGGACAAAGGAGATGGGGGTCGCGGGTTCATAGGAAAAACGGAGGCCAGTAAACGCTCGACGCAATTATTTAACAACTTTGCCAATTCCAGGCAAAGGAAGCTGCAGACGAGATAGGACAAAAAGTTTTATAATCGATGCGCTGGCAGGTCGAAAGTTTCGTCCGCCTGGCAAAACGGTCCAAGTTTCTTTTCAAAGTCACTGCATATAAATAAATTTCTCCAGCTCAAAGAGACAGAGAAAGAGAGGGGACTCTCACAAGCCCGCTGGTTTTTGTGTCCTCGAAGGATCCTTGATAAGCGCGTGCCAGGCGGCTTTTCACAACTTTAAGCCCCGCACAATAAATCAAAGCAGCTGCGGGGGCGGCCAAGGGACTTGTCACTTGCTTATCTGAGGCGTAGACGATGCGGCAAAGTCATCATCATCGCTTAAGCCAACTTGTTTTCTCTCTGCAATGTACTTTCATACATACTGATATCCAGGCTTAGACTGCCGATTTTTCCAGCCGCCTCTCTGCTCTAACTCCATTCAACTTTTCATTCACAATCTCGATTGCCTGCGAAGTTCACGTCAAGGACATTGCAGTTCCTGTTCCTGGATTGCAAAAGGGATGAGTTAGAGGGGGAGAGACTGCCGCATTCCGATTAAGTCGATTAGTTTTCGGGTTTTATCGACGTTTTCCCCTTCTCAGTTGTGCAGGAAAATTGATAAAATTAGTGCGACAGCAGTTTGCAGTGGAGTGCCAGGGCATTCGAGGAAGCATTAAGAGCAATCCCACATTTTGGTAAGCGAACAGTGGGTTAAGGGGTTTCGTTTAGGTACTCAAAAGGTTTTAAGGTCTTTAAATGGTTTTTAAACTATTAAATTTTAAACTGCAGATTTTATCCTTACCAGCCTATAGCTCTCCCCCGACAGCTTTAATTCTGCTCTTTAAACTCCACTTTTTGTTTTAAATTTACAAAACGTTTAAGCCATAACAACGAAATATGCACGAATTAGTAATGCATTTGAATGGATTAATACAGAATTTGAATAAATTAGCTTCCATTTAACTAAACAGCGCAGAAAAAAGTAAAACAAGAATTTAAATTTCCCTTTGGTTAATATAATAAAGCCAGCTGGCTGCTAATTTCCCTTCGTAGTCCGCTTTAAAGAGCTAATTCAAATGATTATCTAAATGGCATTAGATAAATTTAAACTCATTTCCCAGCGGAAGATGATTTCCCCCGTGTAGAAGCTGCAGCGAAACCCGCTTAAAGTTGGAAGCTCTCCGCATTTCATTTTTTATGAGCATTCTAAATTTTAGCATATAAAATTTATGAGGGTCCCATGGTGCAACCACAACACACACACACACTCACACACACACAGATACACTCAGGGACATGGCTGGCTGGGCTTGTCAAACTGCAAATGACATTTGGCCACTTCTCATCTACTCGCATCCTTAGCTCTCACATCCCATACCCGAAACTGCTTTTGCATCCGCTTTGAAAAGGAGGGGGAGGAGGAGGGGTATCGGGTTGCAGGGTGGTGGCCGGAGTACTCGAGGGGTTAAGGGTTGAAGCATCGGAGTTTAGGTAACGATACACGGGTCTACGGTCCGGTTCAGTCTGCTGCCACTCTCTTTCTCGTTGACCAGCTGAAAACCCTCAATTTATCATAGCCGAGCGCAAAATCCACTTTAGCAGCTGGCCCAGCGACATCGTTGGCTGCGTGTGACATTTTGCAAAGCCAAAATATGTAGAACATGCCACAGAGACACATCCAGATAGTCGAGGACTGACTCCCCTTCCGACTTCTCAAACACAAGCACAGACACACAGAAACACAAGCTCAGTAGCCACACTCACTCAGTCAGTCAGTGGATTCACAGAGCAGCAGTTAGGAAAATGGCATATGAACTATGGAAATTCCCAATTAGGTTTTAATGCGTACAAGTGCTTTTTATTCACTGCAATTTCTCACATTGGCCCACACAGACTGTGCCACAAAATGTTGTAGCCAAGGATGGGCATGGGAATGGTGACGATGGGTTCCTTCTCCTCGAATTCAACTCACGAACTCAGATTCTGGGGGTAGGAACAACAGCCCCTGTGTGCCTGCCCTCTGTCTGTCTGTTGCGTTTATTTGCCAGTCATAAATTTCAATCACGTTGCCGGCTATAACACCGAGTGGATATACTCCATATATCAGCTATGCTCTCCTGATTCCTCGGCCTTTCTCTGCATATGCTGTATGGTAGCAAGGTAGCACCTGCCAACCCCTCAACGTCTTTCTCTTCTTTCTTCTTTTTTTGGCTGTCAGTGCACGGAAAACAAAAAAGTTATTAAATGATAAATCACGCTAAATTTGAGTAGAAAAATGTCACGTTGTGTAGGTGAAATATTTGGTAAAATCTCTGGGCTTGGGTTTAGCTAAGGATTAACTAAATGTTGAAAATGTTAAATGTTTGCTGAAAGTTGGAAGATTATATTAATGTTTACTTTATTAAAGTAGTTGTAGGTCTAAAACTAAGACTATCTTTAACAAAGAAGCCTTGCAATAAGAAGCTTTAAGTTATTAATGTAAAAGTTATTTCTGTTTTTTGACATCTTTCATATTTCTACTTAGAGATTTAATAAGGATTTTAGGGAAAAGGATGCTGACAAAAAGTTACTTTAAGATCTAGTTTTCCTGATCAGAAAGCCTTTAAATGTCAACTTTTTCTATCTAATTAATAGACTCCATTATTTATGCCTTCCAAAAAACGTTTTTAACTTCCATAAATTGTCCAAATTCGATAGGAAGGAGTGGTTTTTTCTGTGCACATGTCCTTGTGGTTGTTTAGGGCGTGTCGAGGCGGCAGAGTGACAAAACCACCCATTGCCTGGTCCTTCGAGCGTGCCCACAGAGGCTTGTGTGGTTTTTCGGACGGAGAACCACTGAACCACCAAAGAACCAACGAGCCACCGGACCACCTAGCCACCCCACCTCGATTGGGCTTTCCTCCAGTATCGATTCTCCCGGCACATCAATTGATTTCCTTCGTTTGAGTTTGCGTTTTCGTTTTCAATTTGAACGGGGACATTTTTGTTTGTGCTCCTTCGTTGGCCTGCCGGTCGTTAGTTATGTTTGTTTTTGTGTTTGTTTGTTTTTGTTTGTTGCTTCTGCTGGCCATTCGACTGGACTGAACTGGTCTGTGCTGGCAATTTGTGACTTTGCGTGACTTTTGGCTTACCTGCGTGGGCCACCACGCCTTGATTGCCATTTAAATGCTGCGCTAATAGGCCAATAAACCATTTCGCTGCACAAAAGATATCAGGCAATATAAAACAACAACAACAACAACAACAAGAGAAAACCGAAACCAACCAAACAACAGCAACATTTATTAATTAGTGAGAAAAAATTAATGCGCAACTGTCATCATTACTCCTGCCCCATCCTAAAGGATCTGCGGACATGGATGGTGGCGGATATGGTTTGTTGTGTTTCCCCCCATAAAAACACCCACCCACAAACACACACACCCAGAGAGAGAGAGAGAGAGAGAGCCAACAACATCGTTGGCCAGCGGATGCCACATTTGTTGACAAATTTATTTGTCGTGTGCCATGCTGACACGCCCCCCCGCCGCAGATTGCCCCGCCACTT